AGAAAAAAAGAGAATAAAGGCAAAATCATATCTGTAAGGACAGTGAAGGCACAGCAGAGAGATATGTCCTTGAAAACAAGCAAAATGGGAATTACTATTTCAAAACCAAGCTGACGAAACTAAGAAAATAATGCAATACATGAAAGAAAGCCATAAATCACATGGAAAAAAACACAGAAATTAGGTGATAGGACTCAGGAAAAAATTAGAAGTAAAATGTTTATTTTTATTTTTTTCCTTAATCATATTTTATTATCCTTTGCCTTTCTAAAATACATTTTTTTCTTTTTAAAAACTTCATTAATAGGTATTAATCATACATATTAGTGGGGTTCAGTGTGATATTTTTAGAAATAAAACAATTCAAGAGTCAGAAATGAACACTAAACTAGAAGGAATACAAGAACAAAAGCACAACAAATTAAAAAATATAAAAGGTGAAAGTGAGGAAATATTTTAAACACAAAAACTAATGAGGAAATAGATTTAAAGGATATGAGACACAGTGACAAATATTGGAGATAACCAGAGAAGACTGAAGAAGAAACACAAAACAGGGCAGCAGGACAAATACTATAAAGTATGGTTCAAAGAAACTTTCTGGGGAGAAAGGGATTTGAAACTACATTTTAAAAAAGCAAAACATGTAAATATTGACTCAAAATGACCAACTCCAAGTCATTCTAGTAAACTCACTGGACTTTAAATACAAAGAAGGTTTTCCTTCAGGCCTCTATGAAGAAAAAGAGCAAGTGAGTTATAATGGAAATAAAATTAAATAATAATCAAACTTTTTAAAAATATATATATATATATATATATTTATTGTTTAGTTGTATTGAACACAATATCTTTATTTTATTTATTTATTTTATGTGGTGCTAAGGATTGAACCCAGGGCCTTGCACATGCTAGGCAAGCGCTTTACCATTGAGTCATAACCCCAGCCCCAAATCATACTTTTTTGACAGGAGTGCTTTATATCCAAAGAGCTCTGATACATTTTCTAGGGCTGCTATAACAAAGTTCCTCAAACTAAGTGGCTTAAACAACATAAATTTATTCACTCACTGTTCCCTGCAGTCTAAAAGTCTGAGATCAAGGTGTCGCAGGATTGGCTCCTCCTGGAAGCTGGGAGAGATAATCTGTTCTATGCCCTTTGCATAGCTTCTGATTGTTTTCAGGCAGTTTTTATACAAGCATCTCTTTAATCTCTGTCTTCATTTGCCCATGATGTACATGCTCCTATGTCCAAATTTTCCCTTTAATAAAGGCACCAGTCACACTGGATTGAGGGCTCATCCTACACCATTATGGCTTCATTTAACTAATTACATCTGTAAAGACCCTGTTTCCAAATAGGTCACATTCTGAGGTTATGGCCTCAACATAAATTGAGTGGATGAGCAATTCAATCCATGACACAAAGGAAAGAATAAGCCAAGGATATGAGTTTTTTAATATATTTCTTCTAGTTGTTGATAGACCTTTATTTTACTTATTTATACACAGTGCTGAGAATTGAATGCAGTGCCTCACACATACCAGGCAAATGTGCTACCGCTGAGCCACAGCCCCAGCCCCTCCAAGGATATGTTTTATGCAGCAAAATTAACTTTCAGTTGACATCTTGTCACACTATAAAGAAAGGAAGCAATCAAAGACTGGTGGGATCATGTAAAAATGACTCAGGAGCTAAATGAAGAAGCTCTCATTGGCCAAACCTGAGGTAATTTAGACTTTGATAAGAATAACAATACAAGAAATTGATAAAATATGTTTAAATCTAAATGTTCACAATTAAATTCATATTTTTATGGTGCTGGGGATTGAACCCAGGGCTTTGTGAATGCCAAGTAAGCACTTTGCCTCTAAGCCATATTCCCAGCACCACTATTGTGTTTTTAAAAGATCTAATTGATCATATCCAGTGGGTAAGGAAACTGATCATAACCTTGAAATCTAGTCAATTAAAGGAAAGAACCAAGCATTTATGCTGCCTTTCCTGTAAAAACTGTATCACCTAGTAGATGAGGGGTAGCAGTTCTTTCCCCCTCTTTGTGGTACTGAGAATGGAATCCATAGTTTTGCACAAGCTAGGCAAGCACTTTGCCACTCAGCTACATCCCTAGCCTGAGTATTACTTCTTTATAAAAAAGTGTTCCTGATGATAAATGAAAAAGAAATCAGAAAATCAGAATATCACTGATTTTCAATGTCAATCAATACATCTTGTTATTCAGCCTCAACAGCTGCCAACACCACAAAAAAACAGAAAGTAAATGAGTCATGATGTTCCTCCAGATGAAAGATCACAATACCATCTTATCTTGATCAAATCTCTGTATCCAACTGCCAATTTGCAGAAAATACTAAGGACCAGAAAACAACTACTACACCAGCAAAGTTAGATTTTAAGAAACTTTATAGATCAAATGGCCTAGGTTATTCCTCATATGCATTGTAGGGGAAAGGAAGGAACAGAGTGAAAAATTACAGATTAAAACAGAATTAAAAGACACGTGACAGAAAAATGTGCAGGCTGATGTCTAGAAATATACACTTGGGTGTTAAAATTATAAAGACACAAGCAAATATTACTATAAATGATAAGACAGAGGATATTTTATGAGGAAAGATGGGGGTCTATGATTGGAATAAAATACATGGAGGGGCTTCTGGTTAGCTGGAAAAGTTCTATTTCTTGATTTAGTCACTTGCTACTAAGATGTGCCCCTTCAAATAAATCCGTAAATTGTGAATAAAAACAACAACCATAATAACAATATGAGACAAGTGGATAGAAATATAGAAGAAATAAGATTGGCTATAAGTTCATCATCATTCAAGTTGAATGATAACTACATGGACTTTCATAATGTTATTTGTCCACTTTTGGCACATATTTGAAACTCATTAAAATAAAAAGCCAGTGGTGGTGGTACACACCTGTGATCTCAGCTACTGGGGAGTCTGAGGCAGGAGGATTGCAAGTTTGAAGCCAGTCTCCGCAATTTAGCTAGACCCTCTCTCAAAATAAAAATAAAAAGGCTGGAGATGTAGCTCAGTTGTAGATGGTCCCTAGGTTCAATCCCCAGTACAAAAAAATATTAATTCCAGAGGTGGACTTGATCTCAAAATATAATTATGAATTAAAGAACTTCCTTTTTAATATTTATTTTTTAGTTGGACACAACATCTTCATTTATTTATTTTTATGTGATGCTGAGGATCGAACCCAGGGCCTCGCATGTGCTAGGCGAGTGCTCTGCCACTGAGCCACAATCCCAGTCCCTGAATTTCCCTTTTATTGTACCATTTTTGACTCAGGTATTCTGTTACTAAGTTAATATGTACTTACAAATATTTTTGGTGAATAGAACATTTGATCATTAAGGATAAGGAACCCATCTTATCTCTAGTAATGCTTTTGCATTAAGCCCAATTTTGCCAAAAGTTAATATAACTAAACTAGCTTTCTCTTGTTTAGTATTTCCTTTATTTCACTACCTTTTTCTTTCCTTTTATTTTCAAATTTCTATATCTTTATGTTTTAGATGTGTTTTAAAGAGTGTATAGTTGGATTTTTATTATTTTTATAGTTGATTTTTGAAAATATAGACCAATAATCTTTGTCTTTTGAATGAAACATTTGGTCCTTTTGTATTTAAATACTGACATATTTGAAATCTACCTTCTTCCAATGAACACAGTTTTTATTTTAATTTACCAATATTTAAACTTTTACTTAATAATTAAGTTTATAAATAGGGCTTTTATGTCATCTTTATGAAATCTCTCCCTACTCCAAGGCCATGAATATATTCTTCTATATTTTATTCTAGATGTTTTAACTTTTACATTTGGGTCTACGAGCCATCTTGAATTAACTTCTGTGCATAGTGTGACATAGGGGTTGAGGTTCATTTTTTTTCTACGTTTACCTAGTTGTTCCAGCATAATCTGTTAAATGTTGATCCTTTGTCTTGGCTTCCTTGTCAAAAATCAACTGAATTTATGCACGGACTTTGGTGTGTTTCTGGGATCTATTCTATCCCATCAAAGTATTTTCTTGTCTTTTTTGCTAATACCACAGTGTTTTGATTCCTCTCGCTTTATAATAGACTTGAAGTCAAGTAGTATGAGTTATCCAACTTTGGTTTTGTTTTTGAAAGGTTTTTACCCTTCTAGGTCCTTTATTATTCAGTATAAGTTTTGTAATCAATTTGTTAATTTCTGACAAAAAATTATGTTGGTATTTTTAATTGGGATACCAATAAATCTGCTGATCAATTTGGGAAGAGTTGTCATGATTCCTCTATTTATTTTAGTCTTCATTAATTTCTCTCATCAGTGTTTGCATGGGTCTTGCACATATTTTGTTAAATATATTCAAGATACCTGATTATCTTTGATGGTATTGTAAATTAAATATTTTATACTTTTTATTTGAAAGTATTTTTAAACTTTCAGAAAAGTAGCAAGATTAGTACAAAAATACACATATACACTTTAATCAAATTCACCTGTTATTAACATTTGGCCCCATTTACTTTATCATCTATCATCCCTTCCAGAAAGACAGATCAGAAGAAAGAAAGAAAGGAAGGAAGAAAGAAAGAGAGGGGGGGGAGGAAGGAAGGAAGGAAGGAAGGGTGATCATCCTTTTTTTAGTCTTCCTTAAACTGGAACAGCTCCTCAGACTTTTCTCGACTATTATGAGATTGACATTTCTGAAGAATAGAATTGTAAAATAGAATTTTTCTAGTTTGGGTTTGCCTACTAATTCTTCAGGATAAGACTCAGAATATGCATTTCTGGTTAAAATAATACATAAGTAGCATGATGCTCTATTCAGACTATCATGTTAATATCTACTTGCCTTTCATTGAGAGTGTTAATTGTGATCACCCAGTCAAGTGCTGACTGATTTTTTTCTACTGCAAATTTACAGTTTTCCTTTAATAAGTGCTGAGGGGCGGAGAGGGGGTCGACTGCTGATGTCAGAAATACACTTTCGGGAAATGGCCTCTAAATCTTGGTTGAATTTTTTAATTTTCCTCTGTGGATCAGTAATAGGTTTTTTTTTATGCTCTCAGCTATTTAGTATTTTGTTGGGAGAACAGGGTGACACACAGCCCAATATTCTTCATAATGATCCTCATGCTAGGCATTCTGATGATAATGGACAGAATCATCTGCAAGGACAAATGAACTTCAATGCAGATTCTAGCCAACATAAAGATGAGAACACAGACATCGCTGAAAACCTCTTTCAGAAAGTTAAAATTCTTTGTTGGGTTATGACAGGCCCTCAGAATCTAGAGAAAAAGGCCAAACATGTCAAAGCTACATGGGCTCAACGTTGTAATAAAGTGTTGTTTATGAGTTCAGAAGAAAATAAAGACTTTCCTACTGTGGGATTAAAAACCAAAGAAGGCAGAGATCAACTCTATTGGAAAACAATTAAAGCTTTTCAGTATGTTCATGACCATTATTTAGAAGATGCTGATTGGTTTCTGAAAGCAGATGATGATACATATGTCATACTAGACAATTTGAGATGGCTGCTTTCAAATTATGACCCTAAAGAACCTATTTACTTTGGGAGAAGATTTAAGCCCTATGTAAAGCAGGGTTACATGAGTGGGGGAGCAGGATACGTACTAAGCAAAGAAGCCTTGAAGAGATTTGTTGATGCATTTAAAACAGAGAAATGTACACATAGTTCCTCCATTGAAGACTTAGCCCTGGGAAAATGCATGGAAATCATAAACGTAGAAGCTGGAGATTCCAGAGATACCACTGGAAAAGAAACTTTTCATCCCTTTGTACCAGAACACCACTTAATCAAAGGTTATCTACCCAAAACCTTTTGGTACTGGAATTATAACTACTATCCTCCTGTAGAGGGTCCTGGTTGCTGTTCTGATCTGGCAATTTCTTTTCACTATGTTGATTCTACAACTATGTATGAATTAGAATACCTCGTTTATCATCTTCGTCCATATGGTTATTTATATAGATATCAACCTGCCTTACCTGAGAATATATTAAAGGAAATAAATCAAGAAAACAAAAATGAAGATACAAAAGTAAAATTAGGAAACCCTTGAAAGAAAAATGTGAATGAACCTAGGTAAAATGTCCAGCATTGCAGTGAAGAACTTCTGCATTTCTGACATAGAACCCTGAAATCCCATTGAGAAATTCATTCTATGAGAACATTCCATATAGAAATCTTTCAACTGAAAGACTGTAAACTTAAGCTTTAAATGAGCTGTGAAGTCTGTTAAAATGTGTTTTGATACAGTAATATATAAATATAAATACATATATATATGAAAAATTTGTGTTTTCTTAAGACAGTGGCAAGGTAGAAGAACTAGAAGAGATTTTGTTGCCTGCTCCTGACCGTGTGTAATATTGTCACTGAAAAACTTAAACAGTTAAATTTGCTAAAACTGCACTGTACCATGTAACATACACAATGCTAAACAGATCTGCCTTAAAGAAAATTTAGAAGGAAATATTGTTGCTCAGTGTTGTTTATACTCATTTGCTGTGTGATATAAATGAAACAATCCCACCACACAGTTGTCTGATGAAAATTCTGCTGTGATTATTTATAATCAGCAATATTTATTCAAAAAAGGTAGAATAAGAATGGCACTTATCCTAAAGTGCATTAATAAAATTACATTTTCAAAGTTATCATGGGCCTTGACTATATTATATACTTGGTTCTAATTAATCTTTTACCTGGTCCCTATTCCCTCCACACCAAATATGTTTAACCACTCTCAAATACTGTTCTCCACTATTAATGTTTATTTACAAAGCATTAATATCATTCTGTTAACATGCATTTAAAATATTTTTCAGGTTTACCCATTGTTAATTATGGGTATTAAAGCTATTTGGGCATGCTTTTCTTGTATCAGTGCCATTCTCAGGTATTGCTGACATTTTCAATCGATTATTTAAAACTCCAACTACATGAATATTATTCCTTTCATTCTCATCCTATTAAGATGAGAACTTGTTTGTGCCTTTCATAACTTGTTTAAAGCCATTTTAAAATTCATTTTTAGTCTGAGGTGGCTAATACACTGGCAAAATATTTTGAATGCAGGTTTTGACCAGTTAATTTAAAACATTAGAAAATACAGAGTGCTTAAACAAACTAAAATGTCATATAATTAAAAGACCAAATACTTAATTCTAAGTTTGATGCTGACTTATTACTTTGGGATAATTGTCTTGCCAGTGAATAATTCTAACAAAGCAGAATACCCATTCAAGACTGCCATCAAAAAACAGTTAAGATTATTATTAATGTTGCATACGATTTACATTTCTTATTATGCTAAATTTACATGGTTGTCCCTTCATTGACTGTTGCTTGGCTAATATATTTATTGTGCCAAAACATGTCAAAACCATGACTTCTCTGGGTGGTATATTTGAGAGGATGTTCATTTCAGTGGCTATTTATGGAGTACCATGTCCACATAGTGAAAACAAACACCTTTTTTAATCCAATACATTTGTTCTTGTTGATTTCATGATGGTTCATTCCATCTGGCAAAATTTCAAGGCCATTCATTCTGTTCTTTGAACAACTATTTACCATGGTGTGGACATGGACTTATCTGCTTTCTTTACTAGAAATGTAAATGGCTTAGCATGAACATTCAAAAATCTTAAAATTCACTTGTAGGAAATGAATGCTGCAATGAATCCTGGGCTCTGCAGTCAGACTGCCTGGGTTTTAAATCCTTGTTCCATCACTTCATTATTTTTGTAATCTTGAACAATTTACTTATTTCTCTGTGCCTCAGTTTCCTCATCTGTGAATTAAGAATGATAATACTACCTACCTCACAGGATTTTTTTTTGAGGATTAAATAAGTTAATATATGTAAGGCTCTTAGAACACTGTCTGGCTCAGAATAGGGAGCAATAAGTATAAGGTTTTATTGTTCTGTAATCTTAAAGAGTATAAATATTAAATGAGGGAAGGGATCAAATCAGATACTGAGGGAAATATTTTGTATATATCTTATAATAAGTAATAGCTAGTATTTATCTAGTGCCTTCTGTAATGTTACATAATTTTTTCTTTAGCCATTATTGCCAGAATTCCTATCTTCATCCCAGTGCTGGTGAAGACAATGTAAATTGTTAAGAAAATTGTTTTCTTTTAGTGCCTTCTGGAATGTTACATAATTTTTTCTTTAGCCATTATTGCCAGAATTCCTATCTTCATCCCAGTGCTGGTGAAGTCAAAGATAAAACCAATCTACAGCTTCTACAATAGCCATCACTGAACTGCTTGCAGAACTTGCCTGGACACATTGTGAGCTCACCTGTATGCATTGTGAACTATCTGTTGGTACAGCGAATTGTGGTACTGCTGGAGTATTTTTGCTGATGGTGTCACCGGTGGTACAATTTTTCAAAGGAGCCCTCAATTGGCTTAATGTCATGGCATTTTGCATCCTCCTCTACTAGTGATGGTCTAAAATTTGGGGGCCAACAGAGGTGAGGCAAAGAACCTCACCCCCCCACAGGTGCAAAGGCCTATCCACAAGTATGGCTGTATGCTGGACCGGTAGTCAGTGACGGGTATGATCCAATTGCAGTGGTACCAACCTAAGACAGGAGGCTAACGCCTAGAGGTCAGTTCATCCGATGACGGGTAAGGACCATATGTTGAATTGGACTGCCTAACAGGCACGGTCCCTAAGCCACATGCTTGTTGTTTAAACAGAGAGGGGGAGATGTTGAGAGCCACAGCCGAAGGGGCCCCAGCAAACTTCCAGCTGCCAGCAAACTTCCAGCTGCTGGCTGATGATTGGCTCACAGCGGCCCCAGCAACATCTAGCTGATTGGCTCCTCTGCGGTGATGCTCATTGGGCTGTTTCCCTGCCCTTTCAGACCACGGAGCTGCTCATTGGGGGACTTTTTTGGCTCTGCCCACGTGACCCAGCCAATCGGCCTCAAGAGCAGGAGGATTGTGGGAGAGAGAGGCTTGTGGAAAGCCGGTGGTGGCAGTTGAGGCTCTGAGGGTTTTTCCTGAGAGGCTGTTTTGTTTGGCGTGTGTGGTTCTAAAAATAAAGTTAGTTTCTTTTGACAAGTGGCTCCTGATTGTGCCCAGCCAGACTGCGGCAAATAAGCAATCTATGGATAGACATTTTAAAACCATGCTAATATTCTACTTCTCATTAAAATTTTCCCCAAAATTGACAATTTTTACCTGGGCCAATCTTTACTACTGCAGTTGCCATTCAGCATATTACTGAAAGCAAAATCCTCCATTCCCTCTCAATTGTTTATTCATTGATTTATCTCTTCATTATTGATTTGGATGCATCTGTATCAATTTTTTTCAATAGTTTGTACTTTCTGATGGTTAATTTTATGTGTCAACTTGACTGGGCTATACAGTGCCCAGATTAAACATTATTTCTGGGTATATCTGTGAAGGTGTTTCTAGACCCAAGATTAACACTTGAATCTTTGGACTCAGTATAGTAGATGGTCTTTCCCAGTGTAAGTGAGTGTAAACCAATTGGTTGAGGGCTTGACTTGAACAAAAGATACAAGAATGAAGAATGTGCCCTCTTTTCTGCCTCACTATCTGAGTTGGGACATTGCATCTTATCTTTTCCTGCCCTCAGACTGGGATATGTCCATTAGCCACCCTGTTTCTCAGGTCTTTAAACTTGGACCAAATTACACCAGTAACTTTCATGGATCTCTGATTTGTAGATATCAATGTGAGATGATTTCTCATTTTATATAATTTTTTTGGTTCTGCTTCTCTGAAGAATCATAATACAGATTTTGATAGCAAGAGTGTGGGACTAGGGGCAGAGCACTTGCCTAGCATGTGTGAGGCCCTGGGTTCAATCCTTAGCACCACATAAAAATATACAAACAGAGATATGAAAAACTGTGCTCCATGTGTGTAATAAGAATTGTAATGAATTCCACTGCCATGTATGTAAAAAATAAAATCAATTAAATATTTAAAAAGGCATGCTGTCCATCTACTACTACAAAAAAAAATAAAATATTTTTTCAAAAGAGTGTGGGTCTAGAGGAACAGAATTCTAAGGATTAGCTTTATGAATTGGTTCTGGGATTTCTGGAATTGGCTCTCTATTCTGATTAAATTTAAAGATACTAATGACTGTTTCCAGTGGTAAAGAGAGCACTATTGATAGTCCATGGTAATCTGACACTAACTCCTAATCAACCACTTATAAGAAGCAAGGACCTGAGTGAGTTTATATATAATACTTTTGAACTGATGAATATAATGATTCAGCTAGTTGCTTCTAATGTTGTTAGACAAAAAGGTACAAGATAAGGATGAGCTCAGAGATATGAATTCCCAGCTTAAGCACCACATAAATGCCCTAACATCTTCTATGTGTTCCTTTAAAGAGACTTGTGTTTCCTTATCTCCCTAATGTCCTTATTTAGCTGCAGGGCTGAAATTACTGAAAATCAAACACAAAATCTCTTCCCGAAACTGGCTGAATTACAATGCAAGTTTAACTCACAGACGTTCAGTGTATGTCTCTATTAAAGTGAGGACACACTGATTGGGAAAGAATAACATTTTGTGTTGAGATGGAGATATGTGGGAAGATCCAGATAAAATGTGGGACACTGAGCCCCTAAATTATGATTAGCTTTCTTTGCCAGTGGAAGAGGTCTTCCTACCCCTAGAATAATTGACTTCTCCATCTCCAATAACAACAACATTATCACCCCTAGCAATATGAGCCTCTCCACCCACACTAGTATCATATTAGCCCTTCACTGCCTGAACAAACTGTAATGCCCTCCCATACCAACAGTTGTCATGTGAGGAAATGCTGATTTTCCTCAGGCCCACCTCAAACACTCCTCCTTGCTTCTAGACCTATAGTGAGACTCAAATCCCAGCAGGTAGGATTCACCTAATGGTAAAGCATGGAGTGACCATGAGGAGATGCACTACACTCCAAAAGACTTAAGTTTTATCATTCATGCAGACAGAAATTCAGGAAACATACATGGAGATGAAAACTGATGGTGTGAGATAATGGTGGACAAAAACTTAAAGTTGTATCAGGCTGGGGCTGGGGATGTGGCTCAAGCAGTAGCGTGCTCGCCTGGCATACGTGCGGCCCGGGTTCGATCCTCAGGACCACATACAAAACAAAGATGT